TACCCGAATGTTGCAAGCCTTAACCTGCTCGGACTTTCGAGCCTCAACCTGCTCGGATGTCGCAAGCCTTAACCTGCTCGGACTTTCGAGACTCACTCTGCTCGGATGTCGCAAGTCTTAACCTGCTCGGACTTTCACGAACTATATCCTGCTCGAATCTTACCTGAATAAAAACTACAACATTATTTGTTTGACCTCGACCGCACCGACTTTACAAAGGCTCGGCATTAGTCCTGCATATCATTATTTACAGCACCCGGACTCACAAGAGCCCGGCCTTAAGCCGTTACATCGATTTTTACAGCACCCGAACTCATAAGAGTTCGGCCTTAAGCCGTCACTCTGATTTTCACAGCACCCGAACTCACAAGAGCTCGGCCTTAAGCCGTCACATTGATTTTCACAGCACCCGAACTCATAAGAGTCCGGCCTTAAGCCGTCACTCTGATTTTCACAGCACCCGAACTCACAAGAGTTCGGCATTGAGCCGTCACTCTGATTTTCACAGCATCCGAACTCACAAGAGCTCGGCCTTAAGCCGTCCCATTAGGTTTTTGATCATAAAGAAACTATGCTTAAACACACTTCATAACAGAAACATTCATAGCGCAAAACCAAATTCAGAAAACAAATCGTTCAAATGCAACTACCATTGACACAACCCACCCAACACGATATTTAACAATAACCAGGGTCGTCATTGTTCCGTAGTTCCGCGGCATCAACATGCCCCGACCAAACTTGAAATTAAATAACATAGTATGTATCACACATGCTCAATACTAGATAACTCAAGCATAATACTTCTTAAGATGGGCCACGTTCCAAGGCCGAGGGAAGACCTTACCTCCTGAATCTTTTAGCGCATACGCGCCCCCAGCAAACACCATCTGAATGATGTAAGGCCCCTCCCAATTTGGCTCCAACTTTCCAGCATGCTTCAGCACGTCGGCCCTCCTCCAAACAAGATCACCCACCTTGAATTGCCATTTCTTGACCTTTTTAGAGTGGGCGAGACACATCTTATGTTTGTACTGCACGGTCCTCAACCAAGCCCGATCTCGCGCTTCATCAATGAACTCTAGTGCCTCTTTAACCAATTCCTCATTCTGATTCGGTTCAAAGCACTTGTCCGCTGAGAGCCGAGACCAATTTCCACCGGGATCACAACATCCATGCCGTACACCAGGCTGAAAGGCGTTCCACCTGTTGTCGACCGTGGCGTGGTTCGATATGACCAAAGCACCGTGTCGAGCTCATCCACCCAAGCACCGGAGGCCCTGCCAAGCCTACTCTGCAACCCTCTCAATATGGTCTTATTGGCCACCTCTGCCTGTCCATTCGCTTGCAGGTGAGCCACAGACGCAAAGTGTTGTTTAATGCCCATTTTCTCACACCAAGCCAATATCTTCTTTCCTCTGAACTGCGGGCCGTTATCAGAAACTATAACACGTGGGATGCCATACCTACAACAAATGTTAGTAAACAAGAATTCGATGACCTTCTCCTCCGTTATTTTAGCCATTGCCTCAGCTTCCACCCACTTGCTGAAATAGTCCACCAAAACGAGCAAAAACTTTCGCTGTCCAGAGCCCTGTGGAAAAGGCCCTACTATGTCCATCCCCCATTGTGCAAACGGCAAAGGTGAGCTCATCGGCGTTAGTCCCTCCGCTATGTCCACCCCCTATAATCCTTCCCTGGTGACTTTTTATCTTCTGTTCGATGCCTATCATCATGCTTCTTTCCCCGGGCTCGATCATGTGCCTGAAAATCAGCTTCCGTTTCTTCCATATTCATATACTTGGTGCACCTCTCCAACAACGCATCATAAGATCGAGCGGGCTTCTTAGCTAATGAATTTCTACAATGGCCTGCCTTCAACCCTCGTGTTAGCCCTCCAGACTTGATTTCTTCAGTTGCCGTAGGAACCTCCACGCATGCACGAGTAAACCTAGCCGCATATTCCCTAAGGGATTCATTTTCACGCTGCTGCATGTTCATTAGGGACATGTACGTCTTCTCATGCTTTCTCGCGCTAGAGAACTGATTGATAAACAGCGAACTAAAGGCGTCAAAGCTATGAACAGACCCTGCAGGCAATTGGTGGAACCTTGGGCCGACCCCTTCAAGGTTGTCAAAAAGGCTCTGCAACAAACGCCGTCGCTATATCGATGTAGGACAGCAACATTCTCAAAGCTTCGTAAATGCCTTGTCGGATCTGAAGACCCATCATAATGTATACTTGGCTCCCTAAAGTTTTGGGGTAAATCGGCACCCAAAACATCGTCAGTGAAGGGATGACCCTGCATCCTGGGATGTCGCCTGCCTTCCACCCTCGCTTGGAGCTCTTTGATCTGGTTCGCCATCTGCTCCATCATCACATCCCTAGCCAACCTCGGAACCACTGGTGACATCACCAACCTTTCCTCCTGATCGTCCCTGCGGTGACTCCCCCCTCTTAAAGGCCTAGACACTAGGGGGACATGTTGCTCGACCTCAGCAGCTGGTCGCTTCTCCCCCACGATGGGTCGTTATACCATCACAGCGGACCGTTCTACAACCGCAGCCTGCCAAATCACAGCTGAACCCTCATCAGGTACCCTGTGGTCAAATCTTCTTTATACTGCTTTCGGGCAGCTCGCACCTCGGAATCGTTGGGATCCCCCCACTGTAGATCTGCGAGGGACGCTTTTTTGGACGAGTAGTCGAAAATTGTTTCTTCTTCTCCTCGGACGTTGGTTTCTGGCCTTGTGAGGTGAATGTGAGTTCCGGTACCGACATGCATTCCTCCGCAATCACGTGGTTCTGAGCTCAAACCAGGAATTCCTGGAACGTGCTGGGTTTGTTCTGGCAAAGCGACCATCTAAACATTGATTTGGGCTTGAGCCCAGATATTGCGGACACGAGGATCGTCTTGGGGTGGCGTGGCTCCATG